AAAAAAAATGGTTTACAACGGTTTTATTGTTTTCATCTGCTTCGTTTCAGCCGCATTAAATGACTTGTCTAACCTTATAAAAGATGACTGCAATTTGCAATTTGACAGGAAGCATCTCCCCTTAAGATAACAAAAAGAAACTGGCATTAAGGCTGTACATAGGCATATCTTTGGGGCCAGAGTTACTCGTCCTTTTTGGTATTCCGCGCCTGGCAGGACAATAATGACCAATGCCTGCAAAATTTTACTCAGGTTGTTGGATTTTCACACACAAAATACAAGAGGAATACAGGAACATTAAAGATGGGTGAGTCTTATATGCAGGTAGCCTCTCCTCTACTGCTTCCAGTGTGAGGCTTTGTCGACATTAAGTACTATGACACATCGAAGGCAATGCGAGTATAAGCCCTCTCGGGATCAGTCTAACCTCGTAGCTACATTGTGCGTCGGCAACCAATCGGATTTGAGCCTCTGTTGCATCTGTCATCCCGTGAATTACGGCTATAGAGTTAGTGAGACTACACATGTCCCTAAATGTGTTATTTGTCATGCATTGGCAGTTTTTTAGCAAAATGGATTTGTAGGGCCCCTCTAGATATTTGTTTCCCTCCCGCCCAACTGCTTAAAGTACTTTGTGGTCAAGCATTTAATTCTTGGCAAGTGAACGTAACTTAATATGTAATTGTGCCGGAAATGATCAAAAAATATTAAATCAAATAAGATTACGTTTGTTTTAATATGCTAAATATAATCGAATTTAATCAACATAAACTACTGTTGCGTAGGATTTGAATGCTAAGCGGATAGGTCTGCAGAAAGTCTTCATTTTATTCTTGAAAAGGCAGATTAGGAGGCGTGTTCGAATCTTCTTGTATGGTGAAAGTAAGATTGCTATGGTCGAACATCGAAAATTTTCAAAGAAAAATGAACGTCTACTTGCGGACGGACCCATACGTGCTACTGTGGTATCGACGGTCGTTGTCAAAAATGTTAAACACAATTCACATACTCCTAGAATTGGAGGCGTAAAACCAACTGAAGTAACAAATCCTGTCTTTCTGCAAATTGGCCGCTTTAGAAATAAAATTAATTTTCATTTTTTGGCTTATATGTTGAATTGTTATCATAAAGCCTTTAAAATTTAAGTATTATCCCAATATGTGCGAAAATTGATGTCTCGTAAATGACATCCATTTTGCGCATTGGGTTAAGTTTGAAAAATTGTCTATAACCATGCCTGACATGTCTAGTTCCATTGTGTTAATTTTCCATAGCGTTATCCCTAACCTACTTACGAGTCCTGGTTTATTTGTATAAATGGAAATCTTGCAGGGAGCCATCGCCAGAGATTATGTCAATACAGCAAGAATTTGCATGTCGTCTAGTCCAGCAACGCGAAGAAGGAGGGGAGGGCGTTGCACTCGTGATTGCTTGAGTCCGAGCCCACGCTGTCTCGTAGTGTCTTCTCGGTGCGCGTCCTTGACCTTATAGCGTGCCTCCTTGGTGTCTTAGAGTGTGTCCTTGGATATGACTTGAGCCGTGCTTCAGAAGCACTAGATACTTTTGAACTGCTTCCTGGAACTCGCATATTTGCTTCCATATGTCGGGCTTCTTGGTCACGCGAACGGAGGGCATGATAACAGGGCGGTATACGAAGATGTCTCTTGGTGGAGTTGGAATCTGTTACCCAATAGTTCTCGCCCCGCCTTGCTACTGACTCATGGCATTATGCGCGTGCCCGTGATGCTGACTTCGTAGTCTTCCTCCAGGTTGTGAGTAACGATCTGGGAAATGGGTCGCCTTTCTGCACTGCTCGTTTGTGCTGCGTTATTCGCGACCTAAGTCGTCGCCTGTCTTGTAAAATGACAAGAACAGTCGCGAAGCCAGACTGCTTATTTTCCTTCAGTCGGTATTTTAAATGCATGATCGGCGAACACACTGTAGTTGTCGGACGGTGAGCAATAGCCACGCCGAGCTCTGTAGGGGTACGTTCCGCTGCTTAGGGCATATTCTTTATGTGCGTGGAGGGCGTAAAAAAGTTGGTGGCTCTCATGCGTTTTTTCCCCGTGGACTCGTATGGTGGGATATTCATCTATATGTAAGCAGCATTGTCATATCAGAAAGTTGAAAGCTAGTAACACTACAGTATGTGCACTATCCCGTGAAAAACGTTGGAAAACGTAATGAAAGTCATTTTGCGAGAAGTCAGCACACGCGGCGTGCCCCCAAACTATTATAACAGTAAATTTAGAACTATAATTAAAAACAACTCAGAGTTTGGTCGAGAAATTACTGTTTACTAGCATAAAAAAATGTAATTTTCACAAAAATCTGCAAACTCGGGAAATGGCAATATTATTAGTCAGTGGTCCAATGTAAAATATAAGTGTTTTTAGGCAGAGAATCTCAAAAAAGCGTCAAAGTAACAAAGAACATGTACAAATACAATATTTAGTATTTCGAAAAGCGTCCATTGAGATTTAAAATGGCTGTAAGTCCGTGGGTCATGGAAGTCACCAGATTATCGACAGTTGTTTGTGGAACGTGGGTATTTAGAACAA